GACCCTTTCACAGGGGTCGCCTAAGACCATCGGAAAACACATATATAATTAAATATTGTTTTTGTGATTAATCACTATGCTTTAATTATGTTCAATTTGTAACAATGAAATTGGGGGTCACCACAACATGAGAAACTGTATTAAAGGGTCATGGCATTAGGAAGGTTGAGAACCACTGCCAGTGGGTGGGGGTCCCCTCTGGGATGCCTGGCAGCCTGGGTGAGGGGCTGATGGCTGTTTACAGGCTGGCCAAGCCCTCCAGCGGGGATCCTCACCCCATGAGGGTGTGGCCAGCCTGGATGAGGGGCTGAGGGCCATTTTCAGGCTGGCCACACCCCCTTCAGGGTGGGGGTCCCCACTGGGGTGCCTGGCCAGCCTGGGTGAGGGGCTGATGGCTGTCTGCAGGCTGGCCACGGCTCCTGGAGACCCAAGCTCCCAGCTCTTTTTTATTTTCAGCGCCTCCTTGAGCAGAGGGAAGCAGGTATCTGGGATTTACTTATCTTCTATAATTGAAACTTTGTAGCCTTGAGTGGAGGCCAGGGTGGGCCAGGGCGGGCGGGAAACTGGGCTTCCTCCATCGCCGGGAGCAACCCAAGCCTCCTGTTTGCTCCAGCTCCGTGGCCACCGCCATCTTGGTTGGGTTAATTTGCATACTCGCTCCTGATTGGCGTGTACTCATGGCTTTTCTTTCATTGACTGGCTTATTTCACTTAGCATAATGCTCTCCAGTTCCATCCATGCTTTTGATCATGTGGTATTTTTCTTTCATTGACTGCTCATGGCTTTTCTTAAAAGAGTATGGTACTCAGCTCTTGAGCATATATTAGTATACCTTTTGACTTTCTAATCCCCTTCTGGGAAAATAAACTGGTATACATACATTGTCTGAATTTGTCACACTGGTTTGTCCCATTAGAACACGTTAATTAGAAAAGTCAGTGAAGTTATTTAACTAATGTTAAGAAAACCTTATACATGGAAGCAGATATTTCTATAAATCTTCAGTTTTATAAAAAGAGCCTCTAAGTTCTTAAAATTTACTAGATAGGGAAAAGGGGGCATGGCATAATTTTTCCTTAGCTTTAGCATTCAGTTAGCCTATTTGTGTAGTTGTCAATGAATGTCTAATATTACACATAGGTGATGTTTTCTGTGATAACTTTATAAATAAAATAATCCATAATAGAAATGGATAGAGAATTTTTGCTAGAAATTCTATTCTGATACAAATTTGAATAGATGAAAGCCATGTTGTTTTTCCCCTTTGAGCTGAAAGACTCTTAGTAATCACTCTGAAAGTAACAACTAAAAATATACTGGAGATGCCATCAGAAATCATATAGTTCTATTCTGATTTACTCACAAAAGAAACTAGAATACAAAATATATAAGTGACTCTTCCAAGCTTCACAAATACTTCATGGTAGAGCTGAAATTAGGAATATTTGATTCTCTTTCCATATGCCACCATATAATTGCCAAGAGAAAATGACATTTCTAGATGCCAAATTTATCCATATAAATTTAGATTATACATGCAAAGAGAAAAGGACTAGAAAAAAAATGAATCTTTCAGTTACCAACAACTGAGGTTCCCGGTGTTCATCCACAGCTGGAAGTCCAGTTATTATTTCTAGTAAAACCTATGAAGATAAAAAACAACAAATCCATTAATGTCACATTCCAGGCAACATATAGAAACTAGAATGAATTATGAATCTTGATTATGAAATCTGGTTAATCATTTTCACACACTGAATTATGTCTTTTAGGCATCAAGGCAGAAAGAACATGAGCTGTGGTCATTTCTCACCATCCTTTGAAGCTTCACTGACACCATGGATCCCACCCATCCCCACAAGCAGTTCTTGCTATTGGCAACTTACTAAACAATCAGCTTCACTCAATGTGTTCTGGACACACCTTTCCCTGTTTTGCAGGGAATTCTTCATAAGAATAAATTTCTTTGGTTCTTAGGAGAATATTATTTTCTAAACTTTAGGCATATCCCAAACCCTATACCAGTGATGGTGAGCCTATGACATGCATGTCAGAGGTGACACGCAAACTCATTTTTTTGGTTGATTTTTCTTTGTTAAATGGCATTTCAATATATAAAATAAATATCAAAAATATAAGTCTTTGTTTTACTATGGTTGCAAATATCAAAAAATTTCTATATGTGACACGGCACCAGAGTTAAGTTAGGGTTTTTCAAAATGCTGACACGCCAAGCTCAAAAGGTTCGCCATCACTGCCCTATACCTTAAGTTCACAGTGCTATGATGTTAAATTTCCATATATAAAACACATAAGAAAAATAAGAACCTGGAGAGTATTATGCTAAGTGAAATAAACCAGTCAGAGAAAGACAAATACCACATGATCTCACTAATATGTGGAATCTAATGGTGAATTACCCAATTTCTCCAACCACCCCCACTCACTCCTCACTCCATCTTAAGTTATCAGGAACAGACTGGCAAATCAAAGAATGCCAAAGCATATTTCTTTTAAAAAATACTTCATTTTTAAATATGACACTAAGTTACATACTGTATGACATTTATTTTATGCACTAATTTAAGTTTTATACTAATTCATGAGGATAATGTAGTCAAAAATAATTTCTTGCAGTAATTTCAGAAATCAATATAAAGGCTTTACGAAGTTGGAGAAGTTTTTATAACTTTCTCATTTAACTAGAGGTTAAAGTGAACAGTTTACAGAGAGTTACGCAAGGCAGGTGTATTCAAAATATTCTACTTAAATTTCATAATTATTACCACAATGATTGATTATTGTTACTGATTATATATATATACTAGAGGCGCAGCGCACGAAATTCGTGCATGGGAGGGGGTATCCCTCAGCCTGGCTACACCCTCTCCAATCTGGGACCCCTTGGGATCGGGCCTAAACCAGCAGTCGGACATCCCTCTCACAATCTGGGACTGCTGGCTCCTAACCGCTCACCTGCCTGCCTGCCTGCCTGCCTGCCCCTAACCACTTCTGCCTGCCAGCCTGATCACCCCCTAACCGGCTCCCCTGCCGGCCTGATTGATGCCTAACTGCTCCCCTGCCAGCCTGATCACCCCCAACTGCCCTCCCCTGCAGGCCTGGTTGTCCCCAACTGTCCCCCTGCCAGCCTGGTCGCCCCACGCAGCCTGCTGTTCAGTCATTTTGCCGTCCCTCACTAACACCCGCCCCGCTGGCCTTGTCGCCCCAAGCAGCCTGCTGTTTGGTCGTTACTGTTACTGTGACGACATCTCGGACAATTTGCATATTCCTCTATTATTAGTATAGATATGAAACTTACCACACCAAAGCTGTAAATGTCAGATTTGGGTGTTATTTCTCCTCGCAAAGCCTCAGGTGCCATATAAGCTGTTGTTCCCACAATTCTGCTAGTCATGACTGTCTGTGAAAACTTCTCAGAAGCCCGTGCAAGCCCAAAGTCAGATATTTTGGCTGTAAAGTCTCCATCTAGTAAGATATTTGCACTGAAAAAAATGTAAAATTTGCAGAGAAAAAAATTTATTAAAAATATTTAATGTTGACTATTGCAGATATCCTCCCTTCGCTCACCTCCAGTCACCTCCACATCCACCTCCCTTGGTCTTTACCACACTATTGTCCATGACCATGGGGTATGCATATATGTTTTTTAGCTAATCCATTCACCTTCTTTATCCAGTCACCCCCCACCCCTTCCTCCACCTCAGGCACCTGCCAGTCTGTCCCATGTATCCCTGCTTCTGGTTTCATTTTGTTCCTCAGTTTATTTTGTCCATTAGATTCCACATATTAGTGAGATCATATAATATTTGTCTTTCTCTGACTGGTTTACCTCACTTAGCATAATACTCTCCAGGTCCTTTTCAGGCAAGTTAAATGGTTTCTTAAATAGCTGTATGAATATATGTATGTATGTATGTATTTACAGGGTATACCATGTTATAATATACATCATAAAAGCCTGAAGTCTGTGTAAATAAACCTAGATTTCAGATTAAAGCTAAAAAGAAATAACTGTCTTATATTCCCTTCTGTTTCTTAAGAAAAAATTAAGAAAATAAAATTGAAATAATGCTGTTCACATTAGTGAGAGATATTTTCATTATTTTACAAATAATTTATCACAGGGTCACTTCCCTTAAGGTCTGCCAAAGCACCATTCTTAACTCCTTTTGTAACATTTCTAAATTCATTTAAGAACAAATTTCCAACCCAAGTATCTCAATTTTTCATTTCTTTTTTCTTTTTTTGTACTATCTGAAATCTTTCAAAGAAGAAAGAATACAGCTAAAAGATCGTCCTTCATTCATTATATGCATTCACTCATACACTCATACTTTCATTCCACAAAACTTACTGAGGACTCCCTATATATTATAGTATTTAAGCTCAGTGCTGGACATGGAGGAAATCTTCAAATCTTGTCTGTGACAAAGGTATATGCATAAATATTTTTTTAATCCTCACCTGATGATATATTTTTAAGAGAAACATCAATGTGAGAGAGAAACATTGATTGGTTGCCTCCCTGACATGACCCAACTGGGGATCGAACCCACAACCGAGGTATGTGCTCTGACGGGGAATCAAATCCACATTTTGATGTATGGGAGGACGCTCCAACCAAGTGAGTCACCTGGCTATGGCCATGCATAATTTTTAAAAATCCAGTAAATACACTATAATGGTGATATTAGATACAAAATGCAGATAGAACAACTATATGAATAAAAGAACTGGAGAAAATTCCCAGGAAAAATGTGCTTAGTCTTGAATAATTATTAGAAGTTGATGGTTAAATGAGAGAAAGAAAGGCATTTCAGGCAAATGGAGCACCATGTAATAGTGATAAAAAACACATGACCAATTTCAATAAACTGGTATGCAGGCTTGATTTTTCAGGCCATAACCTGGCAATGCAGTAGTGAATAGGTAAGTACTGGTACAGACAGGTTAAAGGCTGATTAGAAGGGTTTGTAATAAAGTCAATGATAGATAGCCAGGGTCTAAATAAATGCAGAACACTGGGGAGAAAAAGGACATCTATAATCTGGGAGTGCTCTAGATTAAGACATGCATGTGCATAGTGAACAGAAAGAGGGAGGGCAAATTATTCTTTAAAGATGGTTTTTCCAAAAGTAGCATTTACCTTTTAATATCTCTATGAATTTGATGGTTTTCATGTAAAAAACTGATGCCATTAGCTGCACCCTGAGAAATCCTGCATCTCATGTGCCAAGAAAGTGGTGGAGTATCATCCTTGTGAAGTAAGAAACAAACCAATTCAAAAATTAGGAGGATAAAAATACCTACAGTAAATACATAACAGAAAATGTTCCTAAGCAACTTTTAAACAGGGGTTAGCATTTCTCATTTGACAATAAAAATATGTAATAGCATCTTCAAAGTCCAGTCTTGACTAATATTTTACATTTTAGATGATCACCTAATAGAATGACAACCCCAGTTTTTTGCATATCAAATGTATAATTTTCATAGAGCGGGAAAAATATTAAGATTGATGCAGTTTAAGTGATCCTGTCACAAGATGAATATTAATATCCAACAAAGAAACAGAAAGCCAAAAATCTGATAAACAAATATCTTACCAAGCAAGACAGTCTGTCTAGCAATGAACCGTTAGGCATGTAAACATATACTAAGCAGAGGTCATCTCCATCACTTGAGAAACCAAGTAGTTCTACTAAATTTTCATGTTGGCACCTGTGACAAATAATTTTTCACTCAAAATTATTATGATACACACATATATTCAGCTGTAGGTTGGAAGTTATTTAGTTTAGAGCTTTAATAGAAAAAAGATCAATAAAATATATGCTTAATATCATATGATATATGCTTATATATGTTTCTTATAACTTGATAATCTTCTGTAAACACTTCCCCTTTTAGTCAATATTTATCAACTTAGAAGCAAAACCTCTTTCTATTTTATAGTAAAAGCTCAATAATTCAGACCACTGGAACTAGTGATAGTTTGGTTAAGGACTAGGCTAATGTTTACTTTTGTTTAGCACAATTTCAATTATAGCACGATTAAGATTTCAAGAAGTCCGTTGAAACCTGTATAAAACCCTTTCAAGAATGCTCTAACACATCCAAAGCACTGATTTATAGACATCTGATCTTTACTCACATCTAATCTACACATTTGTCTATTTCATCATATCTGATTATTTATAAACTAACTTGAGTTTCTTTATATATGTGAGAATAAAAAAAAACTAAGAGAGCTAAGTATAACAAAACTGCAGACATGTGATACAGCAGAAAGAAAACTGGGCTGTGTTCAGTGCTAAGTTTGAAGTCCAGCTCTGCCACCTCCTGGATATGTGAACTATAGCAAATTAACAACTCACCAAGCCTCAGCAAATTTGCCTGCTAAAAGTGGATAATAATACCTATGTAACATGGATGCTGTGAGAATTAAATGAGCAAATATATGAGAGCCTTGACAGGTACCTAGAGCATGATAAATACTCCATCCTTTGCTTACTCATTTGTTCATTCAAAATGATCTATAATTCTAGCATTTCGTTATTTCAAATCAGAGTTTGATTTGAAATCAGTCTATCCTCAAAAATATTTTATAAAGTGAAAATTAAAATGACAAATTCTCCATGTTCCAGCAAATTAGCACATTTTAGAAATGAGTAGATAACATTTGCTGAGTTTATACTGTATATAAGGCACTATAGTAAATAATTTCCCTGCTTTGTTTATTTATTCTTTACAACAAAATAATGAAGAAGGAACTAACATTATTCCATTTTATAGATGAGAAAACTAATGGATAGAGAGTTAAGAAATGTGGCTAAGGTTATTCTGCTAGTAAGGTTCAGAGATTGGTACTTACTAAAAAATAGTAATAATATTCAATGGTGGTGAGGTAGCAGTGACGTTTGAAATTGTAATACATTGATGATAAGAGAATTAATTACCATAACTTATATATAAGGCCATTTGTACATATACTTGGAAATTCTTTAAAAAGTTCATGCATTCTGAACTATAATTCTTCTAAAACTCTATCCTGATGAAATAAGCAGAGTTGCACTTAAAGACTTATGTATAAAGAGATTTAAAGGAGCTTTAATTCGTGATATTGAAAATCAGAAACAAACCTACTAGGGCAATGATTAAACAAAACATAATCCTCATATATGACAGAATTTTATACAATAATTTAAAATGTTTTAAAATTATTTTTAATGACTTGGGGAAATGCTATGCAGATATCATGAAGAAAGTACATCAAATATTAGCAGTGGTTATCTCTGAGTGATATAATCAAGAGGTGATTTTTATTATTTTAAAAATATTTTCCTATATTTCTCAGATTACCTACTTTGAACAAGTTACTTTAGGATTGGAGAGTGGGGTAGAAATGAGAACAAATTGTAAAAGTGTTTTAATTTTTCTTATCACTATGCATTATTTTTACTGTAAATAAATTAATTCCAGTCTATTATTTCTTTCTTGAGGTTAAGCAACTAGAATTGGTGATTTATAGCAATGGGTCTAACAAAATTCATATCAAAAGCTCAAGCTCTGGAATCAGACAGATCTGTATTTGAAACCCAGCTCTAATATTTATTGGCTATGTGACCTTTCTAAATCTCAGTGGGGAAAAAAAATGTTGGGAGGGAGGTTATAACAATTATTGTTAGGATTAAATGAGACAATGCACATAAAATATACTGTACAGTGTCTTGTACACTATGTAAACTCAAGTATCCATTATTACAATTATTAGAATAAATTTCCTAATTTGTTTCTGTTACTTTTCCTGATGATGCTCAACAATGTTCATGCATACTGGGTCAAGGCCTTCAAAGCACTCTGGTTTATAACACTTTCCTGGTTTATGGGTGTTAACTTATATCTAAGAGCCCATTATACTATACTTTTTTTTTTATATCTACAATTTATCTCTCATAAATCCTGGGAGCAGAAAACATGATAATGGAAGGAAGTTGAAAGTCTATGTAACTTTGCTATGATTTAAAATAATGACTGCTGTTTAATCTACAGGCATATGGGTATGAGTAGTTATGGAATTGTAGTCAAAAATTTTTAAATTGCTCTAATCTAAATCCTTTATTTCATTTGTATATATGTGCAAATATCACTTGTTCATAGTACCCTTGGGGTAAGAAACCAGATCCCTCATTCCTTGCCATGCTCTTTTCCACGACACCACACCACCAAATAAACTTACTTTGCCATTACTTTTATTTCTTGATCAAACTGTTGTTTCAGTTCTTCAGTACTAATGTCAACCACCTGAAAAAATAATATACAATATAACACAATACAATAACCCTAAGGCTCCTAATGCTAGAACATGGCTAAAGAGATCAATTGGCTGATACTGCTTTCCTTAAAATAGCAAGGCATTATTCTCCCCATTTTATAGAACATCTGAGAACTAGAAATATTAGTGATTTGCTCAAGGTTCCATGGCTGGTTAGTGGAAGGAAAAGAATCTTATAAACCATGTAAACATATACACCTCACTGAGTTATTGTGGGAGTGAAAAAAAATTATATGAGACTTTACTGCATAAACATTTTGAAAAAAATTCTGTGGAGCAGAAAATATGTGAATTTAAAGGCAAAAAGAAAAATAAAACCTGCAAAAGAGCTTTTTTTAGTATATATAACAGGGTGACTCTCTTTGTCATATAAATATGTACTATATTGATATTTTTAAAAATATAACAACAAATCTAGAATATAACAAATCAATAAGTAAAAGATGAATACCCTAACAGAAATGGGAACAAAGGATATAGAAAAGAAATTTTGCATTTTTTAATGTACATTTCATAAACTTTATTTTTAAATGAGAAAGTACAAGAAAGTTATTTTTATAAAATGTTCTTAGTATCTTATTTTAATCTTCATTATGCATGAAGCAGTGTGTGAAACAGGGGTTCTCAACTTTATTCTGTGACTCTCCCATAACTGTATGAATAATGCTGTGTATGTGTGCATAACTACATTTTGGGTAGAGACAGGACCCAGAGCTTTCAACAGATTTTTAAATGTTAAGGACTACCAGCTTAGAATGATGTTTATTTAAAGAAAATATGCACTCAAATAATATATTTCCTAAAGATTAATTTAAAACTTATTCTATAGCACACTGGGAAGTAACTCTTCCTTTAAATCTTTTTATCCCTGGAAACCAAACTTACTGCTGCAAGCCTCTTCACAGCCACAGTCCTGTTGTTCACGCAGCCTTTATAAACAACTCCGAATCCGCCCTCTCCCATTTTGTTGCCACCGACAGAAATGGGGCGTTCATCAAAGTTATTTGTGACATCCTTCAATTCATAAAATGAAAAACTGTGAAAACCTATAATGTCAATAAAGGGGGAAAGTGCTTCAGTAAAAAAGTGGTTTTAGTAATTCCAGTATTTTATCAATTTAAGTATTTTATATTTTAATATTTATTACTCTGGATTAGGCACAATGAGGACAGCAAAACAATTTTTATTTTTATTTTTTAAAATATGTTTTATTGATTTTTTTACAGAGAGGAAGGGAGAGGGATAGAGAGTTAGAAACATTGATGAGAGAGAAACATCGATCAGCTGCCTCCTGTACATCTCCCACTGGGGTTGTGCCCGCAACCAAGGTACATGCCCTTGACCGGAATCGAACCCAGGACCTTTCAGTCCGCAGGCCGACGCTCTATCCACTGAGCCAAACCAGTTAGGGAACAAAACAATTTTTAAATAAAAGTTTTAGTCACTTGTTTTCTTCATAAAATAAACCTTTCAAGTTAGGTAAATATTTACTTATGGCCTCTACTCACTGATAACATGGTGACTTATACAATGAAGATGGTGCTTAGTAAGTCAGGAGGGGGAAAAACCACAAAAGAGCTTTTGCCAGTGTGCACAAACAAAAGGAGGAATTTGTCTTTAGTAGTAATGGTCTTTAAAAAATATATTTTATTGATTTTTTTTACAGAGAGGAAGGGAGAGGGATAGAGAGTCAGAAACATCGATGAGAGAGAAACATCGATCAGCTGCCTCCTGCACACCCCCTACTGGGGATGTTGCCCGCAACCAAGGTACATGCCCTTGACCGGAATCGAACCCGGGACCCTTCAGTCCGCAGGCCGACGCTCTATCCACTGAGCCAAACCGGTTAGGGCAGTAGTAATGGTCTTAATGACAAGCCACCAGTTTAGCAATTTTCAACCTTGTTCACCTCACGGCACACATAACCTAATTAATAAAATTCTGCAAAATACAAAAGTTTGCCATTCTGACAAAAAAATAGGTATAATTTTTTATGTTTTATATTTATTTTTTTAGAGAGAGACAGAGAGGGATAGAGATAGAAACATTGATGAGAGAGGAACATCAATCAATTGTCTCCTGCACGCCCCCTACTGGGGATTGAGCCCACAACCCCGGGCATGTGCCCTGACCAGCAATAGAACTGGTGACCTTGTGTTTCATGGTTCGACACCCAACCCTTGAGCGAGCAACACTGGCCAGGCAAAATAGGTATACTTTTGATTTATTCACACCATATGGCTATTGTTGTATTAGCTGTTGTCATTTTTTAAATTTGACAATGTAAGGGAAAAGAGGTTAATGCCTCTGACTAAATAGTCAAGTACTGCATGTTTTAAAAATTCTTTCAGCGCATTGGTTAAAGATCGTTGCCCTAGTGGAATGCACTGCAAATGTTACTTACGCGTATCACTAACTTCTAAACTTTCTGTACTTGAGGAGTCAGGTGGCATATGATTTTGTTCAGGATTCCGCACAGGTATCACAAATGACCTGTCTTTATCATAGCGAGGCATCTGATTCTGCTCGACTGTTACAGCTTCTTTACAAGGCAGTATTTTAACAGTTTTGGGAACAGCATCTGCCAAATGAAGTAAGACACAAGTTGTCCTTCCGCAGAAATAGTGAAAAAGTTAATCTAGGACTTGGTTCATTTAACATCATTCCAGTTTCAACATTAGCCCCATATTCTCACAGCACACACAAGAAGCTACCTAGTAAGAATTTTGTTTTGGTAAAGATAGGTAAGGCAGTGTTTTAAAAAATGGCCTATGAGCCACCTGCATCAGAAGCTCTGAAGTACTTGAACCCAATTCCAGAATTCCAATAATGTTGTCTATAATAGAGCCCAGAAAGCTACCCATTTACAGAAACCCCAGATGATTCTTATGTACACTGAGAACCACTGGTGTAAATGACACAAAGGGAAAAGGTAAAGTTATGAGGAAGGCAACAAGACACTAACCCACCAGAATATAGTGTAAAGAAATCATGACCACAGAGTCCTATTGGCGTGGAAGTGGAGGGTGAAAAAAAATAAGAGCTAAAAAAAAAAAATCCCCCAAATAATATCTAATTCCCATCCTTCTAAACTTCCTACTGGCACCAAACTACCTTACTTTAATGGCGGGATCAGACTCAATCATGAAGCCTCCATCTCTTTAACAGCAAGCAAGTCTGCAGTGCCCTATGTCTGGGGTGCTTGTTAAGAGTTGGGGACAGTTGAAAGAATGAAAAGGAGCCTCAAAGGTCAGGTTCATCTGCTATGAGAAAAAAGTCAGAGTAAGAAGAAATGGTCCTACTTCTGCCACTTGTCTTTCCACCCTCATTGCTGATGCCCTAGCCACACTCAGTTTACCTGGTAGCAAAAGACTCGCAGGGGCAAAAAACTCATTTTGGATCAAAAGATCCACAAGATCACCAACTGTGCAATTTGTAGTGCCCCAGTCAAACAGTAATTCACTGGTGGGACTTTTTCCAGTTTGAAGTAATGCTTCAAATCTCCTTAAAAGCAACAAAGAAACAAAATTAGTATGTAAAGGGAGTTAACATGAAAATAGGAATTAATCCCCCTGTTCTGCTCTCTGACAGCACTGCATATAATGTTAAAAAAAAAAGGGACAATAAGAAAACCAGCTAGACCCTAGCTGGTTTTTCTCAGTGGCTAGAGTGTCAGCCTGTGGAATGAAGGGTCCTGGGTTCTATTCCAGTCAAGGGCACATGCCTGGGTTGCGGGCTAGATCCCCAGTAAGGGGCGTGCAGGAAGCAGCTGATCGGTGATTCTCTCTCATTGATGTTTCTATCTCTCTCTCCCTCTCCCTTCCTCTCTGAAATCAATTACAATATATTAAAAAAAATGAAAACCAGCAAGAATTACAGAAAATAGGAAAGAATAAGCAGAAGGAAAAAAGATGGTGAAGGTGATAATATGTTAACACTTACTGAGTATTTGCTCAGTGGACTACAGGACGTACACTATGACCCATTTTATTCTGAAAGACACTATGAATATCATACTAATTTACTAATGAGAAAGCCAGGCATGGAGAGGTAAAGTAAGCAGCTCATAGCCACACAGCCAATAAGCTGTATCTAAATTAAGATCCAAATTCCGATTTCACTTGACATAGGAGTGTGCTTTCAACCTACAAAGCTCTATTACTTCCCTACATGATATATTAACTCTGCTAGTCAAGTGATTTTTAACAAACCTGCTTAAAGAAATAGAATATACATAAACTTGGAGAAGTATTCCTTTGATCTTTACTATATTTCAATTAAATTTTAAAAACATAAGTTTTGCATTCCCACTTCTTTAAAAACTAATTTTGAAAAGTAACACTTAAAAACTTTTCTCTCTTTTTGAAAAATTCCAAATAAGGTAATACCATGAACAACCATTTACCCTTCATGTAGTTTCACCAAATGACCAATTGATAACATGTTGCCATGTTTGTGCTCTTGCACGCATTCTCTCCATCTCTCTCCATCTCTCTTCTCTCTCTCTCTCTCTCTCTCTTTCTCTCTCTCTCTCTCTCTCTCTCTCTCTCTCTCTCTCTCTCTGTGTGTGTGTGTGTTACATTTGGAGGCACATAATGGCAGTCTGTACCATTACTGGTGACGCAAAGTTTGATTCCTTGGTTAAGAAAGAATGCTTCAGATTTTTTTCTCTTTTTATAGAGAAATTTCTCTATTTTTCCTTCATAATTCATAAGTAAACTGTGGATAATAATTTCAAATCTTGTGCAGTCTTGCTCATCAATAACCTTTCACTTTGTGGTTTTTTTTAGCAGTCACTGAGGAGCCTTGTATGAATTAATTACTCAATGGTAGTTGTAAATCAATAACTTTCTAATTCTATCATTCTTTCAATAATTGTTTGCTGCCATTATTCTGCAAAGAAGGGCTTTTTCTCCCACCACCACTGTCTCATCTTCCAAAGATTTTAATAGTAATGTCAATAAAATATCTTAAAAAATAGGCTGGCAAGCTCTGAACTGAAGCTTTTTCTAAGTAATTTAAGATGTTCATCCTTCATATGAGGAAACATTTCCTGGAAGGGAGCCATGGTTTTAGGTTCTTTATTAGGTAAATACTGAAAATCACAAATACATTTCTTTTCCTCCTTTTTTGTTAATCCTCATCCAAGGATATTTTTCCCGTGGATTTTTAGAGAGAGTGGAAGTAAAGGAGGAGGGAGGGAGGGAAGGAGGGCAGGGAAGGGGAGAGAGAGAGAGAGAGAGAGAGAGAGAGAGATATCAGTTGTCTCCCATGCATCCATGTGCCTGAGAGGATCAAACCTGCAAACCAGGACATGCCCTTGACTGGAAATTGAAACCGTGACCCTTTGGTGCTCGGGTGATGCTCTAACCACTTAGCACACTGGCCAGGGCAATATTTCTTTTCCACTTGTTTCTAAAGACAGATTTTGATATAGGTTTGAGCTGAAATAACTGACCACAATAAATCTGTATTTATATTCTATACTAAATTAAGCAGAGATGAATAGAGAGAAAGAATAGAAATTATCTGAAGATAGTGTTGAGAAATTCTAGCTAAGAAATAAAAGTTCTGTTCATAGATGTATACATTTATGAGCAACTAGGAAATGCCCATTTGAAATCCCAAAATACACTGCTAAAGTGAATTGGAGATTCATACACATAGAAGTTTAGGTTCCAGAATTGTGCTAGCAATTCTTACAATATTTTTGTTACTTCAAACTGGAAATGACGGAAGCAGACTGAACTATACTCCTCGGCTTGCCAAACAGAACCAAAATAAAAGTGGGAATCTGGATTCTAATCCAAAAACCTATTTGCAAGATCACAATATTAGCCTAGCTGAATGAAGCAAAACAAGGAGGGGGTGCTTATTACCATTATCTCCACTGGGGAGAGGTTTATTTTCTGAACTGCAATATTAGACAGCATTTATACCTATTAGTCATTCTAGATTGTGATATAATAATTTAAAAAGGAAAAGAATTTTATACATTACCTTATGTGAAACTGATTGTATCTATCATCACCAGATGGTTTTTTAATAGCTACTGCTAACTTCTTCCATCCTTCTTGAGGATCAATAAAATCTGACAGCTTTCTAATTAGTCCAACATTGAGGCAGCGTACATATGTTGATGGTGTTATTGGTTTGTTCATCTCCTATTCCTATAATAGAAAAAATTCTCATTAAAATGTTACAGTAGTTTTAGTGATGATATTTATAAGCTTATATTTCACTTTGCTATAACATATGAATTGTTGGCAACTGATTACATACACTATAACAAAGGAATAGTCCAAAGTCAACTACAGTTGATGCTTGAACAACAGGGGTTTAAGCTGTGCAGGTCCACTTATATGTAGACTAGAGGCACCAGTGGGGTCCCTTGGCCTGACCTGCAGGAATTGGGCTGAAACCAGAAGTCCAACATCCTCCAAGGGGTCCCAGATTGCGAGAAGGTGCAGGCCAGGCTGAGGGACCCCACTGGTCACGAATCCGTGCACCGTGCCTCTAGTATGCATATAAGATCTTTAATTAATCTCTTCCCGCCCTCCCCCCTTCCCTCTGGGATTCATCAGTCTGTTCCATGTGTCCATGCCTGTGGATTGAACGTCTGCCCCTTGGTGGCCAGTGCGCGTCATAGCTACCGGTCAAATGGTTGGTCACTTAGGCTTTTATATATATAGGTATTTTTCCATAAACACTATAAACGTATTTTCTCTTCCTTATGATTGCCTTAGTAACATTTTCTTTTCTCTAGCTTACTTTGTTGTAAGAATACAGTATCTAACACAAAAATGTATCATACAAAATATGTGTTAATTGACTATTTATGTTATCTTTAAGACTTCCAGTCAACAGGTTATTAGTAGTTAAACTTGCAGAAAGTAAAATATTACACGAGGATTTTAAACTGCGTGGGGGTCGGCGCCCCAATCCCTGCATTGTTCAAGGGTCAACTATAGTTGATATCTAAAGAATAAATTAAAATTGTGGTTTATTTGTCTATCCTCTGGACTTGCTTTTTTTCTCTACCTATAATATCAATTAAGAAATTATTTTTTTCCCCTGATACTGACATTTTCTGAATGAAATTTACACAAAGGAGCAAAAAGTTTACTTTTTTCAGAAAAAAATACTGTGAACAAATTCAGGAATGAAATCTATTAATAAAAGAGATTTATTTTTCAATTTAAAATAGGTTTACCAGTCAGTGTTTATTTCTATTAAATATTTATGCAATACCCTTTGGTAGAAGAAATATAAATTTCCTGAAATAATTTGTGTAGCATTAAAAGATATGGTCTATCCACCAACATTTTACATAACATGCTCTTCCCGGTACGCCTCCACCTTTTTTGAGTCCATCAGCTCTATCTGATCACAATTCATTCCCTACTAAGCCAAACCCTATGGCTTACCACCTTAACTACTCTAGGCAGAACCTTTATTTCCTCTGCCCCCTTTTTCTTCTGCTATTCCACCTTGGAGAGCTGCAGCTAGGGATAAATCTCACCATTTTACTTGTACACCCGTGCTGCTGAATACAGCTAGAGAACCAGATGACAACTGAGCATATTGGTGTGAATACAAATTTACGGGGACCCCTTTTCCATCGGGCCTTCAACACACCCATTAATCCTTTTACTTGTCTTCACTCATTGTCCTTAGCGAACTATTTCACACCTTTACTTCTCTATATGTGGTTTTATTTTATCGCCATGGCCCTCATTCTCAGTAGGTGATTACCTTTCCTTCTAATTAATCAAGACACATAGATATTCTTCTGCCAATTATTCTCCTCCCCTATATATTTTTTAAGATGCCATACAATTAATATTTGGAATAAAGAATATATTCATGGGGTACAAAATCCAGAATCTATAAGCAAAAAGCCTCCCAATATCCTAGGCCTCTATATTAGCATTTTCTTCTCTTTTGCCTTCTTTGACCACAATATCTAAGTAGGTCTGTCTGCCTTCAGCCTAATTATCTTTCATCACTGCACAATTTATTTGTAATCATATATTTACTTGTTTAGTTGTTTTTTTCTGGCTGTCACCACCATTAGACTATAAGTTCCATGAGTTCAGGGACCTTGGTCATTTTATTCACTAATATATACTTGTTACTTCAACCTTCTATTCATATACTAATATGTGAGAATGCTCATATAGTAAACATTCTTTACCTAAATCTCTCTCCTAAGTTCTGGACCATATATCTACTTAGTGCCATCTCCCCTAGATGATGACAGAGGTAGGTATTTACATTTAATGTGACCAGAACTTATTTCCTCCATCTACCTAATTGGCCAAGCCAAAAAAGCCAGGAATCAGCTTCTTTGCTTCCCTCACTCTTCTTTCTCTCTTCTATGGCATCTTTCATTCAATTGTTTTGATTTGGTCTCCTAAATCTTTTAATCTTTATCTTCTCCATTCCTTGATTGTATATTGTTTCCAGGTTTTCATTTCTCCTAGATTATTACAAAGTTTTCAAACTGATCTCCCTTCAATTTTTCATTTTAGAGGAATCCACTTAACCAAGTAAGATCACATAATACCTTTCCTGAAAACTCTGAAATGGCTCCCCTGTACCTTTCAGTACAAAGTTTAAACTCCTGTCATAGTATGTAAGGCACATGATGATTTGGCCCTGCCTGCCTCTCTAACCTCATCTCTCATTACTTAATGGCATGTATCCTATGATCCAGCCATAGCAAACTCCTTGCCTGAGCCTAACCATGCCCTCCTGTGCTATTACTGATGCCTGGAATTTTTTTTTTTTTTTGATGGGGGCGAATTATCCTTAATCCTTTCCACTCATTCTTCTCTCCTCCCACCTCACCCAAATCTGTCTTAAGACAGCTCCTTCAGACTGGCTCAGCTTGATGCTCCTTCTCTGGGTCCCGTCACACTCTGCACACACCTATTACAACATTTATCCCTCATAATTGTTTTATCCCTTGCTAGACTGAAAAACTTGAAAACAAAGATTTTCTCTTCTCTGTAGCTCCTATTGCCAAGTACAGCAATTTTCAACTGGTGTGCCGCAAGAATGTTTAAAACAGGGGTCCTCAAACTTTTTAAACGGGAGGCCAGTTCACTGTCCCTCAGACCGTTGGAGGGCCGGACTATAGTTTAAAAAAAAAAACTATGAACAAATTCCTATGCACACTGCACATATCTTATTTTGACGTAAAAAAACAAAACAGGAACAAATACAGTATTTGTATTTGCATGTGGCCCGCAGGCCGTAGTTTGAGGACCCCTGGTTTAAAACGTGGAATACCTGACTAGTCAGGGGCACTGACCGCTTTACCCTTAGATTGTCAAATAGAAAAATGACAACAGCCAACACAATAGCCGTCTGGTAGGAACGAATCACAATTATACTTATTTTTTTGTTAGATTATTATGTTAAGTGAAATAAGGCAGTCAGAGAAAGACAAATACCATATGATCTCACTTATATGTGGAATCTAATGAACAAAATAGAAACAGAGGCATGGATACATGGAACAGACTGACAGATGGCAGAGGGGAGGAGGGTGGGGGGAACTGGATGAAAGAAGGTGAAGAGATTAGCCAGAGAACATATATGTATAGCCCATGTGCACACAGACAATAGTGTGGTGAAGGCCCGAGGTGGGGGTGGGGTGGAGGGACTGTGTGGAGGTGGGACGGGTGGTGGTGGTGGAAATCTGTAATAGTGTCAACAATATATATCATCTATATATCACACACAAAAATCCATAGCACTCTGAATGAATCTTTCACTCTGAATGTGACTTTGATCTTATGAACTTCCTGAAAGAGACTGAGAGACCCCAACCATACCCTGAGAACTGCTGACTTAATATTTGCTTCAAGACTTAAACCTTGGATGAAGATACAAAGGGGATAGTGAGTAGAGTATAGGTTAAGAGGTCAGCCTTGAACAGAAGGAAACCTCTTCTGAATCTAGCAAGAGGGAAGCAGAGGTTTGAGTACAGATGTATTTGAAGGGAGAGAAAGAATTCCCACACATCGTTATTTTTTCTGTGAAGCAGGAGGTAAGGTCATCTAGAGCTAACTGAAAGAATTGCCCCAGCACCTTGAGGGCCACCTGGTAAGTGTCTACTATCCCATCAAGTCCAACGCAAAAGGAACTATGACTTTCCCTAATGTCTTTTGCTTCAAACTGTCACCTGGTTGTTTTTCTATTAAAACAGTTATCATAACTTATTGTTTACTAGAGGCCTGGTGCATGAAATTCATGCATGGGGAGGGGGTGTCTCTCAGCCCGGCCTGCATCCTCTCACAATCTGGGACCCCTCCGGGGATGTCCGACTGCCAGTTTAGGCCCGATCCTCCAATCCAGGACCACTGGCTCCTAACCACTGGCCTGCCTGCCTGCCTGATTGCCCCTAACCACTCTCCTGCCTGCCTGACCACCCCTAACCACTTGCCTGCCTGCCTGATTGCCCCTAACTGCCCTTGCCTGCCTGCCTAATTACCCCTAACCACTTGCCTGCCTGCCCCTAACCACTCGCCTGCCTACCTGATCACCCCTAACCATTCTGCCTGCCTGCCTAATCACCCTTAACCACTCGCCTGCCTGCTTCATTGCCCCTAACTGCCTCTGCCTCGGCCCCGCCACTGCGGCTTCGTCCGGAAGGACTTCTGGAAGGTCATTTGGCTATCTGGTCTAATTAGCATATTATGCTTTTATTATTATAGATCTGTCTACCTTATCTCCTATACAATCTGCTCTCTGGACAGAGATCCAACAAAATTCAACTTTAGCAGCTACTCACAATATTTGTGTTAAATGAGAGGAAGACTGATTTTTTTAAAATTAAGAAATGCTAAAAGCCTATAGATTTTGCAGTTGCTCTATATACATTATTTTTTCTTATTTATTCAGATTTCTACTGTGTGACTGACAAAGCTCATAAAAGTAGAACTGCTTAGTAATCCTAAAAGCTAGAGCTAAGACACAGGGAATTGAGAATAAAAACAGTCTATCTTAAAATCAGCCCTACAGCACCCAGATTTCTAGCAGAGGTGATGGCATAGGGATGCCAGAAAAAGGAAGGCTTTCTAACAAGCCCTTCACACATATATATATCTTAAAGTTTTAAATCTCAAAATTTAAAATTTTTCTTTAAATATACATTCATATATCACCCCTAACACATATTTGGAAGAATATGCACCAAAATGTTAACTGTGGTTATCTCTTGAAAATGAACTTTCTGGTGGTTCTTTCATTTGCTTAACTGCATCACCAATATTGAAAATAAGTGATCTGTGCAAAAATAAGTTTTTTAAATATAACCTCTTTCAAAGTGTTCAAGATTTTACTTTAGTGTACTTAAGAGTAATGGAAGTGCAATGGGACATATTGCTTATAAATAAATAAATAAATAAATAAATAAATATCTCCATGACTATTTTCCCATACCATTGATTTTCATGGTAAAGGAACATCATTCACATTTTCAAACAAGACAACTTAGCCAAGAATACAAGGTAAACTGATCATTGAGAAATATACTAAAACCAGTGTCAGCTTGTGGAACCCAAAGCCTTCCCACTCATATGCACCTTCTGAAACAGACAATGGACTGTGCCCCAAATAGGATTAAAAAAATTCTTGTCAAATGAATTAATTCAGACTGTGCTTCATTAGCACTCTGGTCAGAGGAAGAGAGTGTTGAGAGGTGGAGGGAAGATGGATTTTGAGGTTGCATGGGCCTGGGTTCCAATATAGCTCTTCCACAAACCAGCTGTGACCAGCGCAATAACTCAATTCACTGGGCCTTGGTTTCTTCATCTGCAAAACAGAGATGGTAATACCTAAGAGTTGCTATTAGCTTTAAAATCAATAAACGTCAAGGACCTAGTCCTGTCAATAACAGGTGATCAAAAAAATGCAGGGATAATTATTTTATGGCAGAAGTTATTGTTATATCACATTAAAAAAAATAAATGTACAGAGCTGTATTTAAGCTCAGTTTTCAGCATGGTGGTGAGGGTCTATGGAGAGCAGGAATGAGAGGTTTGAGGATATGGCTAAGCTTTTCAGATGCGGTCAGCCTTGTTTTATCAGGTACACTTTGCCAGTCTGACATTGCACTTACCTGATCCCCACAACCCCTCTCGACTGTCTAATTTCCTGGGAGCTTGGAAACAGGAGAAACGAGCTAATTCGACTCTCCTGGAGAAGCAAAATGCTTTGCACTTCCCGAGCATCTCTGCCGGGTGCTGGCCTCACTTCCTGGTTCTCAGGGGAAGAGGTTTCCTAGCCGGGTTCTCGGAACACATCCCCGGGGGGTGGGGAGCGGGGATCCGGCCCAGCCCCCGGGCCGCTGGGCGAGGCCCTTCCTCGCCCGGGTTCCTCTCGGGTGCGCCGCACTTTCTGATGCCTGGGCACCCACCCCTGTGTTCACTGTGGAGCAAGCTCTGCTCACGCACCCTACTTCCTCTCCAACTTTTCTCACTTGGAAGACAAGGCGACTTGAAACGGCCCCTAACAACCCGTGGGCAGAGGGTCGGCGGCCGGAGCGGATCTCCGACCACCTGCGGGGAAGGAGGCGCACACAGCCTGAGCCCCTTACCTGTTCGAGCGTGGAGCGCGGGGACCGGCCGGACCGACCCTGCCCAGCTGAGCCGGCGGAGGAGGAG